AGCCCCTCTACCAGGGGTGTCTGGGGGTACCAGCTGGGGGGCCAAAGGGCAGGAGCCCCCCCAGTCCCGCCGTGGGAAAGGAAGAGGGCTCGGGGAGGGGCGGGGGGGGCTGGCGGATTTATTTTCCTGCTGAGGTTTCCCCGAGCCGGTTCCAGCAGCGGGGCCGGAGGGGGAGGGAGAAGGGGGGACGGGGGAGCGGGAGTGAAACCCAAGAAAGTGATAATTATCCTGAAATATTCGTTACGTATCCCCTAACCTGGAAAATATTCTGCTCCGGCAGCTCCCCGGCTGGCGAGGAGCGGGTCAGGCGGAGGGGAGCAGTGCAGGGGCTGCATCTGATCCTGCCCAAATCCCTGGGGACCCCCAGAGCCTGTGCCCCCCACTCAGTTCCACCCCCTGCGATGGGTCGTGGCCCCCTCCCCAGCCCCGCTCCCCAGGGACACAGCACCGCGGTGGGGGGCAAAGGGGCCCGAGTGGAGCCCTGCGGGGGTGGGACCCCAACCCAGTGCGCTTTTGGGGACACGGCCGTGCCCGCGGTGCGTGGGGCAGGTGAGCCCCGGGGGTGCCTTTGGGTTGGGGGGCCGGGGGAGTTTGGAGGTGCCTTGGGGGGGACCACCAGGGTGGGGAAACTGAGGCAGGCAGGAGTGGGGTCCTCGGGGGCCATGTGGGACCCCTGGGGGAGCGGAAGTGCTGCCGAGCCCCCAACTCCCACCCCCGCGTGCCTCAGTTTCCCCTGCGGGGCACCGGCCCCGAGGGCTTTGTGAAAAGGGGGAGCAGGGGGGGTCCCCCCGCACACGGCGGTTCTGGGCCCTGTGACCCCCCGGGCTGGAGAAGGACTCGGAGGGAAGATGGGGGGAAGGCCCCCCAAGCCTCCCTTGCGCACCTCCCCAGCCCGGGGGCGACCTGGGGGGATCCAGGAGGGGGGAAGCGCCGGGCTCCACTCACCCAGCGCCTTCAGCAGCTCCTCGAAGTTTTCCGAGCTCTTCATCTTCCAGTTCCCGGAGAAGTTGGGCATCGCGGCTGCCGGGGGTGGGGGGCACCGGGAGGGGGTCACAGGGAGGGGACTGAGGGGGGATCGAGGGGGGACTGAGCGGTTCGAGGGACCCGCCGCTCCCTCCGCACCGGCACCGGCCCCGCCGCTCGCTCGCTCGCTCCCTCCGTCCGTCCCGTCCCGCCCGCACCGCCGTTTTATCGCAGGGCTGGTCCCACCCCCCGGCCCCGGCCCCGGCGCGGGGGCTCCGCGCTCACCTGCGCAGGGAGACCCCGGAGGGAGCCCCCGCCCCGATCTGCCCAGGGGCGTGCGGGCACCCCCTGGTCTGCCTGTCCCACTCCCCCCGAGGCTGCCTGTACCCCCTAATCTCCCTTCACCGCCCCCCCGTCTTGCTGCATCCCTCGAATCTGCCTGTACACCCCCTGAACTTCTCACATCGCCCCCCGAGCCGTTTATACACCCCAAGTTGCTGCACCCCTCCCCCCCCAAATCTGTCTGCACTCTCCTAATCTCTGTGCACCCCCCTGGAACTGCCTGTACCCCAAATGTGCTGCAACCCATCCGGAGCTGCTGCATCCCCCCAATTCTACCCCTACCCCTCCAAGCTGCCTGCACCCTCCTAATCTCCGTGCATGCCCCCTACCTGGGCTGCCTCCACCCCCCAAAATCTGCCTGCACCCCCTGATCTCCGTGTGTTCCCCCCCACCCCTCAAGCTGTCACATCCTCCCAGAACTGCCTGTAACCCCAAAGCTTCCTGCACCCACACCCCCCCCCGAGCTACCTGTACCCCCAAACTTGCCTCCAACCCCCCCAAACGCACACCCTGCAGACACAGCCCGGGGCACACGCGTGTGCACAGGACACGCGTGTTTGCACAGGTGTGATGTTCTCACGCACACGTGTGTGCAGGTGTTCGTGCTCACTCGTGCACACGTGTGGACACGAGTGCATGCACAGGCCGGCGACTTGACATGATCACACACACGCAATCACACACACACATCTGTGCACACGCGTGTGCGTGCAGGGCCGGGAGGGGGTGGCTGTGGCCGAGCCCGGGGGGAGGGTTTCACCCCTCGAGTGAACCCTCGGTCCCTCCCTGGTAACAAGCGCTGAGGGATTTCCCAAGGTTTCTCTCCCCTGGGAACCGCCGCGGGAAGGGGCAGGTTGTGCCGCGGGGCCGGTTCTGGGCAAGAAAAGCAAGAAATGGCGTTTCTGGTTCAGCAGCAGCTCTGGAATGGAAGGAGAGAGGTTTCTGCTCCGGTTTGGGGTGAAAAGGCCCCCAGCAGAGCCCCCGCCGCCTCCCTCCTCCCGGTCACATCCCCCCCGTGTCCCCAGAACCTCCGGCTCGGGGCCGGCGGGCCAAGTCCCGGCTTGCCGCGTCCCTAATCCCCCGAAGAACAGGATTTCTCACCAGGCGCTGACATAACCTCACCTACAGCAGCGCCGGGGCCGCGCCAGAGGGGACAGGGACAGGAACATGGACAGGCAGAGCTGGAGGGGCTCGGGGAAGGGGTGCTGGAGAAGGGTCACTCCAACCCCTTCACCCCAGGGGGGCAGGAGCTGCGTCCCCCCCCCTCCCGGAGTCACAGGAGGGGTGATGCTGAGTGTTTGCTTCAAGTTTAGGGAACGAGGGGAGAAAAAGAAGCCCCATTCCAGGAGAAGTGGGTGGAGAGGGCTGTGGTGGGATCTGTCTGCAACCCCCCCGGGACACCCCTGTCCCCCTCATCCCCTGCTGGGCACCGTGACCCAGGAGGATTATGAACGCCAGCCCCAGCTGCCCCACATCTGGAAGGGATTCTGCCGGGAAGGGCGGATAAAGCCTTCGCACCCCACCCTCCTCTCTCTCTCCCTCCCATCCCGGCAAAGCTCTGGGGTGGGCAGGCAAACCACTGGCCCCAAATAACCCCCCCGGAGCGCCGGTGACCCCCGGGAAGGACACGGATTCTCTGGGAGGCGGGCAGGGAGCGGCGTCCCAGCGCCTGGGCAGCAGCAGCTGGCTCGGCCTCTGGAAACATCCGGCAGCGGCCGCCGCCTGCGTCCCCCTTCCCGGCAGAAATCCTCAGAAACCGCAGAAATCCCGAGCGCAAACCACTGGAGGGGGCTCCCCAAGCCCGGGCACGACTCCCTTCCCACTCTGGCACCCCTATGCCCGCCCCCCCCCTCCCCTTCTTCAAAACGCTGTCAGTGCCCCAGAGCCCCTCCTGGGAGGATGTGGCTGCTCGGGGATGTTCCCCCTCGCTGGTGCCCGGGATCCACCCCGGGAGGGGTGACGTGTACCCCACACCCAGCACAGAAGCCAAGGCCACCGGGGGCTCGTCCCTGACGCCCCCGCCTTCCCCCCCTCCAACCTCTCACTATGTCAGGACAGGGGACGGGGCGGGAGGCTCCAATGTGTGGGGCCGGGGGCTGAAGCCTGAGTGAGGGCAGGTCGCCCGTCGCCTCCACCCCAAGTCCCTGCAAATCCATCCCAGCTGGCGGGACATCCCCCTCCTCCTCCTCCGCCCCTCCGGCCACGGCCACGGCCGCTGCGGAAATGAAACACAGCTGGACGGCGCGACCGAGTCCGGCCCCGGCCCCGTGGCTGCCGGGACCCCCGGCTGTGGGGCGGGAGGGAGCCCACGTGCCCCAAGGCCTCTGCCTGTGCGTCCACAGCAGGACCCTGCCCTGGCCCAGGACCCTGAGCCAGCCCCAGCCCCAGCCCAGGGCCTTTTCTCAGTCCTAGGACCCTGATCCAGCCTCTGCCCAGCCCAGGATCCTTCCTCATTCCTAGGACCCTGATCCAGCTCCAGCCCCAGCCCAGGACCCTTCCTCAGTCCCAGGACCCTGAGCCAGCTCCAGAACTTGCCCTGGCCCAGGACCCTGCCTGAGTCCCAGGATCCAGCCCTGGGACTCTTCCTCAGCTCTGAGACATTTCCCTGGCACAGCACCTTGCCTCAGATCCTGCCCCAGCCCTAGGACCCTTCCTCAGCCCCTGCCCTTGCTCTGGCCCCAGGACTCTTCACCAGCCCCAAACCCTCCCCAGCCCCGGCAACCTTCCTTGGCTCCAGCACCTGCCCCAGCCCCAGGACTCTTCCTCAGCTCTGGGACCCTGCTCCTGCCCCCGCCTTGGCCCCATCCCCATCCGGAGAGAGCCCGGGGTGGGATGCAAGCAAAGCCCCCAGGACTCCGAAACGCATCCAGCGCCCGCCGGGGCTGGGGGCCCGCCCGGCTGCTTCTCATTTCCAGGGCCATAAACCCCTTTAACGACCGGCCATTTATAACCGCTGTAAAGCCCCTAATGACCGCCAAACCCTGCCCAGACACAAAGGTTCCCGCCTGCTCCTCCCGCGCTCCCACTTTCCTTTGGATTTTGGGGCTCTGACAGCTTTCCCACCCCCACCCGGGCCGTGGGGACGGGTGTGCAAAGGCAGGAGGGGGAGGGAAGAGCCCCCATAAAACCCCGCAAACTCCCGCCCCGTGGGATGCTCGGGTGTCCGCTCCCCGGCACCGCGGGGGGGTGGGCACCCAAATCTGCGTGTTTAACCCCAAACAAAGGTGGAAGGTCTCGCCACCGCGGCGTCCTGCCCCCCAAGACACCCCTCCCGTCGGGCTCCGCCGCCCCGAGCCAAGCGGAGCCACGTAAACACGAGGAAAGGCTGGAAAAAGTGACGCGCGTCGGGGGCTCGGGGCCGCGTCCAGCCCGGCGCGGGCGGGGGGATCCCCCCGGGCGGCTGCGGGCTCGGCCCCGCTCCCGGGGCTGCCGCGGCCCCTCCGGAACAACCAGCACCGGAGACCCGCCGGCGGCTCAACCAGAAAAGGGGTTGGGGGTCCCCAGAGCAGGTGAAGGGGCCAGCCCGCCCCTGGCGTGAGGAGGAGGAAGAACCAGCGAGACGCAGATGTCGGCGGGTGGCGGGTGACGGCAGCAGCCCCGGAGCCCGGTGAGGGACCCCCCCCACCGAGGCCGGGGGGCTCCTCCCCACTCCCCGCCGCCGAAGGAAAGAGCTCGTTAATCATTTCTCTTTTAATTGGGACCTTGCGCATAAACCTTTCACAGTTCAAAGCAGCCCCGCGGCGGGGTGGGGCGCGCCGAGGGCACGGCCAGCAGCCGGTACCGGGGGCGTCCCCAGGGCAGCGCGGGGGGGCTCGGAAAGGTGGATGGGGAGACGCTGCTCCCCGCGCCCGGGCTCGTCCCGGCCCCTTTCGCGACGAGGAAGGTGGCACCGAACCACCGACGGGAGCAGCTCCTGCAGCGGAGTGGAGACTTCCCGGCGGGATCCCAGTCCCGCCCACTCCCACGCCTCCTCCTCGTGCTGGCAGAGGTAGTTTTGGGGACGGGAAGGAGCCTGCTCCGTTCCCAAATCCCCCACGGATGGGGGCTGCCCCAGATCGGGACCCCCCACGCAGCTCCCCAAACTGTTCCAAGGGTGCAGGACCCAAGACCATCCTCTGGGAAGGCACCAGCCCAGGCTCTCCCCACGTCTCTGGGCAGGACAGGGCAGAACAGCAGCGGCACAAGGCACGTTGGGGGGCTCAGGGATGAGGGACATCGCTCCTGGCTCTGGGACATTCACGGATGGGGCAGCTCCTCAGCACCCACGGCTCCTCCCAGGGCTCCTCTGAGGGCAGGACCAAGGTGGTGGTTTCACTCTGGGCCCCCATTAGGGCACAGGACAGGCTGGGGACATCGCTCCAGGCTCCCCCAGGGCACAGGACAGGCTGAGGGCATCACTCCAGGCCCCTCTAAGGCATAAGACCTGGCTGGGGATGTCCCTTTGGGCCCGCTCTGGAGGCAGGACCAGGCTGGGGGGCGTCACTCCAGGCCCCCCTGAGTGGAGGGGGTCACTCCTGCTCCGGGTTCTGCTGCAAGTGCTGCTCCCACTCCTCCTCCACCACCTTGTAGAGCTCCATGGTGGCTCGGGCGTCCTCCACCGAGGAGTGGCCTCTGGAACCCACCTGTGGGGACAGACACAGCGTGGGCACAGCTCCACATTTCAGGGACAGCAGGTAGATTTGGGGGTGCAGGCAGAATTTGGGCTACAGGCAGAATTGGGGGTGCAGGCAGCTGTGGGGCAATGCATGCAGCTCGGGTGGGGAGATGCATGGAGATGAGGGGGTGCAGGAGCTCTGGGGGGCTGCAAGTGGATTTGGGGGTGCAGGCAGCTCTGGTAGGGTGCAAGCAATTTGGGTGGGAACATGCACAAAAACTAGGGGGTGCAGGCAGATCTGGGGGGCTACATGCCAATTTAGGGGTACAGGCAGATTTGGGGGGAATGCAGGGAGTTTTGGGGGGAATAGGCAGATTGGAGAGCACAAGCAGATTTGGGGGGATGCAGGGAGTTTGGGGGGGCACAGGCAAATTTGAGGTTGCAGGCAACTTGTGGGGGGATGCACAGAGATTAAAGAAAACAGAGCAGGAAAAACCCCCTGAGGCTGCAGGGGTTGAGCTGAGGGTCCCCCCCCACACACACATAGGGAAGGGGAAACTGAGGCACAGGACTGGCAGCAGCAGCTGAATTTGGGGCACCCCGAACATGACACCAGGGATGTCCTCCCCGCCCCACTGTCACCCTGGCATGGCATGGGTGGTCCCCATCTCCCGTGGTGGGGGGAGCAGTACCTGGATGTCCTGGTTCAGCAGGGCCTTGGTGAGGCGCTTCAGGGACACGGCCATGTTCTCTGGGAAGCCCCCCCGGCGGTTGAGCAGCGGGATCCGGGACGTGTCCCGGGTCAGGGCTTTGGGGTGGGAATACCGGAGCGCCTTGAAGTCGTTGTGGATGGCGTGGCCCACCACGACCTTCCCGGCCAGGATGCGCAGCACCTGCGTGGGAGGGGGTGGGATGGGGGTTTAGGACCCCTGGCAGTGCCCTCTGTGCTCCGTGGGAAGCGGCTGCCCCACCAGGACACAGAGCGGCCCCGCTGCCAGGTGGGTGGGAAGGTGTGGGGCTGAGTGGGGATGGCAGTGTGGGGGGCACAACCCCTGTGCTGCAGAGGGCAGCTCTGAACCCCCCTCCCCAGCCCTGGGGGCCCAGCCCACACCCTCAGCCCCATGACCCCCAGCCCTGGCCCCACAGCCCCCAGCCCATGGGACACAGAGCCCAGCCCTAGAGCCCCCCACCCCAGCCCTGGCCCCACAGCCTGACACTTCCAGCCCTGCCAGCCCCCCACCTGGGTTTTGCAGCCCCCACCCCTCACTTCTAGCCCTCCACTCCCAGCCCTGTACCCTGACACCTCTAGCCCCACTTCACCCCCACCCCGAGACTCCCAGCCCCCAACTCCCCATTCCAGTCCTATCCCCCGACCTGCAGAACCCCCCACCCCATCCCAGCCCCACACTCCCAACCCTGTGCCCCCAACCCCCCATTTTAGTCCCATCCCCCGACCTGCAGACCCCAGCCCTGCACCGCCCACCCCCTTTTCGATCCCTCCCCCACCCACGCCCCTACTCCCACCCCTGAGCCCCCACCCCATCCCACAGCCGACACCCCCACCCCAACTCCCTATTTTAGTCCCATCCCCCGAACTGCAGACCCCATTCGCGCGCTCCCACCCCCCTTCCCGCGCCCCCCGTCCCCACCTGCCGCTGTGCCTGCTGGAAGGGCACGGCTCTGTCCATGTGGTGCCGGCGGATGCCGCTCCAGCGGGTCCGGTAATCCACGATGGGCGCCTCGGGCCGCACGTAGCGATCGTACACGACGTCCCCGTGGTAGGACACGATGCTGCACCGCGCCAGGGCGCTGGTGCGGCCCCCGGGGCCCGTGCCCACCATCTCGCAGTCCATGGCCAGCAGCTTGGTGGGCGCCGGGGGCGCTCCGGCCGCCGCCCCCCGACCCTTCTTCCCCTTGGGCTTCGCCGAGGGGGCTTTGCCGGTGGGTTCGGGGGCACCCCCAGCGGACCCCAGACCCTTCCCTTTGGTGTTCGCGGGGCCGTCCTGAGGCACCTGAGCTGCCCCCCGACCCCTCCTCCCTTGGCTTTCAGGGGGAACGGAGCCGTTCTCTTTAGGGCGCGGCCGGGGGGGCTTCGCCGGGGCTCGTCGTGCCCCTCCCGGGTTCGGGGGGAGCTGCTTCTGCCGCAGGACCCCGCGCCGCTCCAGCTCCCGCCGCCGCCGCACGAAGCTCTGGTGCTTGCGGTTGCCCCCCTCCTTCTTGGGGCGCCGCTCGGGGACGGACAAGTCCAAGTTGAGGATCAAATCCCCCATGGCGGGACCGGGGGGAGAAGCGGGGCGGGGAGAGGCGGCTCAGCGGCGGAACCGGGGACCGCCCCCGACACCCGGGACCCCCGGCACCGACACCAGGGACCCCTCGGGACTCCTCGACGACCCCCGGCACGAACACCGGGACCCCCCGGTCCCCCCCCACTCACCTCCCCGGCCCGGAATCGGAAGCGGCACGTGGCCCTCCCGGTACCGGCAGTGACGTCATCGGCGTGCGCCGCCTCCGAGAGCTCGGCTCGCGCGCGCGGCAGTAGCAGCGGCTGCTCCGTGACGTCACCCGCGTCCGCGTTACGTCACCGTGACGTTGAAAGCCGACGTCACAGGTCACCGGCGTTGTCCCGGGGCAGGGCTGTCGCGGCCTGCCCGCTGTCCCGGCCGGCCCGGGGGAAGTCGCAGGTGCTCGAGGGGACGAGCGGCGCCGCTGGGTGACGTCATGGCTTCGGGGAGGGGGGTGTCACAGCCGCGCGACGTCAGGAGGCGGGAGGGGGTTATTGCGTCCTCGCGTGACGTCACGCTCCGGTGACGTCACGCGGCCTCTGGACGTCGATGGGCACGGCCGGTGGAGGTGGGGTGAGACCTGGGGTGACGTCAGAGCTCCATAGGGACACGCCCCGCAGTGATGTCAGAGCGCCAGGGGACACGTCCCAGGGTGACGTCAGAGCCCCAAGGGTGACATCAGAGCTCCGGGGCTGACACCCCCTCCCGCTGCCACCCCCAGGTGCTGCCATGGCGGCTGCTCCCGCTCTCATCCTGCAGCACCTGGACCGCCTGGAGCAGCCGCTGGAGAACCCAAGGCAGCAGCAGGAGCACCTGGAGCAGCTTCCAGACCCAGAGCATCAGCGGGAGCAGCAGCTGGATCACCCGGAGCAGCCGCTGGAGCACCGGGAGCGGCCGGAGCAGTCACCGGAGCAGCGTCGAGCCGCTGACATCATCCGCCTCCTGACCCTCTACCGGCCTCTGATCGATGCCTTCATCATCGTGAGTGTCCCCACATCCCCCCTGCAACCCCCTGGCTGTGTTCCCCCATCCGTGCCCCCCGCACTGACCCCCCCTCCCGCAGGATTTCTTCACCGAGGGGCTGTGGGCACACCTGCCCCCGGCCTGGCAGCCCGCCCTGGCCAGCGCCACCCCCCAGCAGCTGGCCGGGCTCCTGGGGGGCCGTGGTGGCCCCGGGGCCGCCTGGCCCCTGTCCCTGCTGGCCTTCGCCGCTGCCACCCGGGCCCTCTCCTTCCCCCGGGGCCGCCCAGCAGGGTCCCCGCGCCCTCCCTGCCAGAGCCCCCGCCTGCACCCGCTGCTGCGCCGCCACGTCAAGCCCAAAAAGCAGCACGAGATCCAACGCCTGGGCAAGGTGGGTGCCCCCCAACTGCCTCCTCTGCGAGCCTCCATCTCGCCCCCAGCCCCACAACACTCCCCTGTCCCCGCAGCTGCTGCGGCGGCTGAGCCAGAGCACCGGCTGCCAGCGCGTGGTGGACGTCGGAGCTGGGCAGGTGAGAGCAGGAGCACACGGCGGGGGGGACACAGGGAGGGGCTCAGACCCCGCCTGAGCACGTGTCCCCCCTCCCAGGGCCACCTCTCCCGCTTCCTGTCCTTCGGTCTCGGCCTGTCGGTCACGGCCGTGGAGAGCGACACCCGCCTGGCCGGGCTGGCCGAGCGCTTCGACCAGGACCTGCTGCGGGAGCTGCGGAAAACGGGGGCCTCCAGGCAGGGGGGGCACCCACGGCGCCGCCCAAACCGCCCCCTGAGCCCCCTCACCCCCGCGCCCCCCGCCACGTCCCCGGGCGCCTCGACCCCGCCGCTCCCTGGGGGGAGTTCCTGCTGCCCCCCGACCCACCCGGGCCTGGCCCTGCTGCCCGGAACCCGCTGGGGGACCCGGGGGGCTCGGAGGACGGGGGGCCGGTGCTGGTGACGGGGCTGCACGCCTGTGGCGACCTCAGCCCGGCGCTGCTGCGCCACTTCGCCCGCAGCCCCGCCGTGGCCGCCGTGGCCTCCGTGGGCTGCTGCTACATGAAGGTGTCGACCACCCCGCTGCCCCCCGGCTGCCCCGCGCCAGGGTACCCGCTGAGCGCCGCGGTGGCGGCGCTGCCGGGCCACCAGCTGTCGTACCGGGCGCGGGAGGCCGCGTGCCACGCGCGGGAGGAGTACGAGGGGCGGCTGCGCGGTGACGGTGATGGCGGCACCCGCCTGCTCGCCCACGGCTACCGCGCCGCCCTCGAGGGCGTCATCCGCGCCGCCGACCCCGCCAAGAGGCACCTGGGCCTGCAGCCGGGCAGGAGGGCGCACGCCCTCGGCTTCCAGGAGTGAGTTTGGGGAGTGGGGAACCCCCTTCTGGGCCCCTCTGGTTTTGGGGAGAGAGAGGATCCCATTCTGGGACCCTCCCTTGTGAGGTTGGGGAGGGTGAATGCCCTTTCTTGGACCCTTCCTGGCCCCCAGTGACTTTGGGGAGAGTGGGACCCCTCTCCAGGACCTTTCTCATGAGTTTGGGGAAGGGGGATTCCCTCTCTAGGACCTTTCTTGGCCCCTAGTGAGTTTGGGGAGGGAGGGACCCCCTTCTGGGACCCTCGTGTGTTTGGGGAGGGGGGAACTCCTTTCTGGGACCCTCCTGGGCCCCAGTGAGTCTGGGGAGAGGGGACCCCCTTCTGGGACCCTCCTCCTGAGTTTGTGGAGGGGGGGGGAACCCCCTTTTGAGACCCTTCCTGACTCCTGTGAATTTGTGGAGGGGGACCCTCTTTTTCATCCCCTCCTGGCCCCCAGTGATTTTGGGGGAGGGAGGACCCCTTCCTGGGACCCTGCCAGCCCCCCAAGTGACTGTCTCCCCCTAGATACGCCCGCCTGGGGCTGCCCTTGGCAGGGCTGGACCCAGCGGGGGTCCCGCTGGACTGGGGGGCCGTGGGGGCCATGCTGGAGCAGCAGCACAAGGTGGTCGCGTTCTACACCCTGGGGCAGCTCCTGGCGCCCGTCGTGGAGACCCTCATGCTGCTCGACCGCCTGCTGTACCTGCGGGAGCAAGGTGGGCACGGGCAGGGGGCCTCCCCCTCCCCTCTCCCCTCCTTCAACCTTCTCTTCCCTCCCCTTCCTCTCTTCAACCCTCCCTCTCCTCTTTTCTCTCTTCCAACTCTCCTTCTCTTCTTCCCAACCCTTCCTCTCCACTCTCCTGACCCTTTCTCCCAATCGCCTTTTCTCCAGGCCCTCCCTCTCCTCTCTCCCATCCTTCTTCCTCCTCCCTCCTGACCCTTCCTCTCCCAATCCTCACTCTTCTCTCCTGACCTTCCCTCCCTCTCCTCACTCCAATCCTCTCTCCCAACTCTCCGTCTCTTCCAACCCTCTCTTTCCTCACTGACCCTCTCCTCGCTCTTGTCCTCTCCCCCAAACTTCTGACCCTCCCTCTCCTCTCTTTCCTCTCTCTCCCCACTCCTTCTCTTCTCCCTGACTCTCCTTCTCTTCTCTCCTCGCCCTTCTTTCTTCTTCTGGCCCTCTCTCTCCTCTCCCATTCCTCTTCCTCCTCCCTCCTGACCCTCTCTCTCCCAATCCTCACTCTTCTCTCTTGACCTTCCCTCCCTCTCCTCACTCCAATCCTCTCTCCCAACTTTCCGTCTCTTCCAACCCTCTCTTTCCTTGCTGACTCTCCTTCTCCTTGCTCTGATCCTCTCTCCCAAACTTCTGACCTTCCCTCTCCTCCCTCCCCCACCTCCTTCTCCTCTCCCTGACTCTCCTTCTCTTCTCTCCTGGCCCTTCTTTCCTCTTCTGGCCCTCTCTCTCCTCTCCCAACCCTCTTTCTCCTCTCTTTCTCCCCCAACCTTCCCTCTCCTGTCTTCCCCCTCTCCCAACCCCGCTTTCCTCTCTCTGGACCCTTTCCCTCTCCTTTCCCAACCCTCTCTCTCCTCACTGACCTTCTCCCAACCTCCTCTCTGACCCTCCCTCTCCTCTCCTCTCCCCCAGGTTTCCACTGTGCCCTCGTGCCCCTGTTCAACCCCCGCTTCTCTCCACGGAACTTGGTGCTCGTGGCTGCACGGACCCCGCTGGCCGCAGTGCTGGCCGGGCTGGCCGAGGACAGCGAGGATGGAAACAGCAGCGAGGACGAGGAGCCAGGGAGCTGAGAGGCCCCCCAGCCCCGGGCACAGACCACAATAAACCCAGGATTTTTTCCTGCCCAGGGTTGGGTGTGAGCGAGTCGGGGCTGCGCCGAAAGCGCCACATGCAGCAAACGTGGAAAATCAAGGGGTGTGTTTATTGCAGAGCCCGACTCAGGGGGAAGTCCCCCCCCAGTTAATACCAGTAGGATTTCTTGGCCCTCCGCGTCTCCACAATCCCCATGGCGTCCATGATCTCCTCCTCGAAGGTCTTCAGGGACGGCTTGTACGTCTTGGCCAGCGCGTCCTCCACCGACGTGTCCTTGGGGCCATCTGCGCGGGCGAGGGGACAGCGATCTGAGCCCCCCCTGCCCCCCCTGCCTTCCCCACATCTCCCCCAGCCCCGCTGCTGCCCCGCTCACCGATCCAGTTCTCGGGCACGATGCCGTCGCGGCGCGGCTGTGGCGGCACGGGCAGGATGCGGCCGCTGCGCAGGGACACGCGGACGCGCTCGCCCTCGTCCGTGTACCGCCACTCCACCTCCGTGGGCTTCCTGCGGGCACACGGGCGGTGGGAGGGGGCAGCGTGGCATGGGGGGCTCCTCAGCAGGGTCCCCTCAGCCCCTCCAGGGCTGTTACCTGTCCTCGGGGTCCACCAGGCTGATCTGGCTGAGCAGCAGCGGCGCCTCGCTGGCGATGTAGGTGCCGGAGTACTTGGCCGTGCGGTTGATGTAGCGGTAGTGCTGCGAGGGGGTTTGGGGTCACCGACAGCCCGTGACCACTCCCAGCCTCCATATTCCCCCCCACATAACCCCCCCAGCCTCACCGTGTTCAGCCCTTCCACCACGACCCAGTTCCGGGGGCGCACGACCTGGGTGACCATGCCCTGCTTCCCCGCGTCCTTCCCGCTCAGCACCTGCACCTGTGGATGGGGGGAAAAAGGGGTGCACAGGTGGGACCCCCAGCCCGGCCAGCAGCCTGAAGGGGGACCATAGCGGGGAGGAAGAGGCTCACCGTGTCACCCCAGAACACCTTCCAGTCGTCGTCGGCGATGGGCTCCACGAAGATCTTGCGGCGGCGCCGCCCGGGGGGGTTGCGGAGCCGGTCGGCCGCGCTGCCGGGGGGCCACGTCCCGTGGCGGTACCCCAGGGGCAGCCGCGACCGCGCCGCGTTCAGCAGGGCCGAGAGCCGCATGCTGCTGCGGGTCGGGGGGGTGCCCTGTGACCCCCAAAGGGGAGCCAGGACCCAGAAGACCCCCAAAGAGACCCAGGGATCCCGCAGCGTTCCCTCTCATCCCCAAAAGGGGCCCGTAGGTCCCCCCTCACCCCTAGAAATGGCACCCAGGGATCCCACAGACCCCTCCCCACCCCCAAAGATGATCCAGGAATTCCGCAGAGCCTCCAACCCCCAGAGGGTACCCAAACTCCCGCGGAGCACTCCCCCGCTCCCAAAGGGGAGCCAGGCTCCAGAAGACCCCCCCTTCTTCACCCCCAAAGGGACCCCCGGGGCTCCCGCAGAGCCCCCCACCCCCAGCGCGTGCCCGCAGAGCCGCCCACCCCCGGAAACGGCACCCAGGCGTCCGGCAGAGCCCCCCTGCCCACAGAGGGACCCAAGACCCTACAGAGCCACCCACACACCCCAAAAGAGCCCCACAGACCCCCCCAAAATAGTCCCGGACCCCCTCCCCGCTCACCTGCGTGTCCCGCGCGCCGGGGGGGCGGGGCCTGGAGGGGGCGGGGCCGTGTGTTGTGGGCGTGGCCTGGCGCAGGGCGGCCCGCGCCGGCCCGCCAGGGGGCGCTGCGGAGCCCGGCGGGAAGGCGCGCGGTGCATGCCGGGAGTTGTGGTCCTGCCGCGCTGCACGCCGGGAGCTGTAGTCCTGTTTTCCCCCCCCTCAACTCTCGCGGTGTCCCCCTCCGTGTCCCCGCTCCCTGCGACCCCCTCCCCAAATCCCGCTGCGGCTCCCGCGGGGTCCCGACCCGCCGAGCAGCGGCTGCCGGGAGCTGTAGTCCCGCCTGGGGCTGGCGCCCGGCCACGGCTCCATTTTCTGCTGCTGCCCTGCCCGTCCCCACGGGGCTGGTCCTTGGGGACACCAAGGGGTCCCCGCTGTCCCCTCCGTGGGGAGCCGGGCACGGCCAAATCTTCTCCCTCCCGGTCTGGCCTCTCCCCACAGGGCTGTGTATGTGGGACAGGGTCATGGCCCTCTGAGCCTGCCAGAGCCCAAGGAATGTTTGGACAACACTCCCAGGCATATGGTGGGATTTTTGGTGTCCTGTGCAGGGCCAGGGGTTGGACTCCATGATCCCAATGGGTCCCTTCCAACTCAGGATGTTCCATTATTCCATTATTTTAGAGACTAAGGAGTGCTTGGATGTTGGGATTTTGGGACTGGGGAGACTTTGGTGTGTCCTTTGCAGGGACAGGGGCTGGACTGGATGATCCCAGTGGGTCCCTTCCATCTCAGCATATTCCAGGATTCCATTATTCTAAAGGTCAAGGAGCGCTTATACATTGGGATTTTGGGACTGGGGAGATTTTGGGGTGTCCTCTGCAGGGCCAGGAGTTCGATGATCCTGATGGGTCACCTTCCAACTCAGGATATTCCATGGTTTCTATTTTATTAAACATCTCCCCTCTTGAAACCTCCCCCTGGCTCTTTCCCTCTCCCACTCCCAAGCCACACACTCCAGCCCCACAACACGGAGCTGCCAGAGCCCCTCTGAGCAGCCCAAAGGGCTCCCCAAAAACCAACCAAGGGGTTGGGCAAGCGCTTTAAAAAGGCAAGAATCGCTTTTATTTCAAATCAACTGCTCAGCCCCGAGGAATCACTAATACAAAGCGTTGCACCCACGGCAGGGCGGGTGCTCGGGGTCAGTACCGGGCTGCTCTGCATTCCTCTCTCTCTTTCTCTCTCTCTCATTTTTTTTTTTACGTGTTTTGTTTTTGTTTTTTTTTTTTAATTTTTTTTTCCTTTTGAAATTTCATTTTCGGGGTCAGTTTCTGCCGTCCAGGAGCTCCGGACGCGACAAGCCCGGCGAGGGCGACGCGGCGGGGGCAGCACCCGGGAGCCAGCGGGGTAGGATCAGCTCTCTGGGGACGCTGCTACAGGCTGTGGGGGCCAAGAACAGAACACTGTCACACCCCACAGTGCCAGGGATGTCACCCCAGGCCCAGGGCAGGCAGGAGGAGCCCGGCTGCGGGGCACAGGGATCACCACACCGCCCTCACCTCTCCTTGTGGTCTCTGACCTCCTCCTTGCCCTCCTGCTTGGCTTCGTTGGCGTCGGGCGCGTCGGTGGCGTCGCTGTTCTTCTCCCCTTCGCCTGGGTTGGCTTTGGGCTCCTCCTTGGGGGCCTCTTCGTTGTCCACCTTCTTCTCCCCTTCCTGCCCCTCTGCATCCTTGGGGCGTTTGGGGGAGTCCTGGGCAGGGGGGAGAGCTCGGCTCAGCCCGGCCCCCCTCATCCAGGTCCCCGTTGTCCCCAATGTGTCCCACTCCCCCAGCTACCTCCAAAGCATCTTCCGCTTTTCTCTTGATCCCGCCTTTCTCGTTCTTGTCCTTGGACTGCTCGTCAATCACCAGCTTCCCCTCCTCGTCGCTGCTGCCCTCGGCGTTGCCCTTCTTCTCCCCGTCCCCATCCGGCTCCCGCTCGGCCGCCTCGGGGCAGCTCTTCTTCTGGGTGGGCTGGGGGGGACACAGGGGGCTCACAGAGGGGACACAGGAAAGGGGTGTGGGGGGGAAAAAGGAGGCGCTGGGACCCTCCAGCTCGTGACCCACCTGGTAGCCGGAGGCTTTGACCGTGGGGTTGTTCTCGATCTCCCACAAACCTTCGCTGAACCCTTTCCGCTTGTTGGGTTTCCCGAACTTCTCCTTGCACTCCTCGTAGGGGAAAAGGTCTTTGGGCCCCAGGAATGCCCTGTGCCGGGGGGTAAAGGCGGTGAGGAGGAGGGGAGGGGGGTCTCTCCCAAGCCCCCAGCGTCACCCACCCCATCAGCAACCCCCTTGGCCCCGGCTCCCACTCACGTTTCGTGGGTCCCGAAGAAGAAGACTTGGTACTTATTGGAGGAGGATTTCACTGCAGCTTCTGGCATCTCATCAATCTGTGACAAAGAGGATGGGGTGAGAAGGGAGGGCAGACACTCCCCAGACACCAGGACATCCCCCCGCCCTGGTGTCCCACCGACAGGCACAGCCTGGGGAGGGAGGAGGACGCGATTCCTTGGGAATTCACCCACGAATTGGTGACAGTGGCCAACAGAACAAGTGGCTGTGCCCACTAGAGTAGGGTCACAGGGGTGCCCTTCTCCCAGTCCCCTGTAAGCCCTTGTCTAGACCAGCTCAGACACACTCAGCAAATTCAGGCAATGCCGGCAGTGCCAGCAGAGCCAGAGGCGTCACCTCCACCCTGGGGCACAGAGATCAGGGTTCCCCAGGGGACACCATCCTGCTATTGGGACCCCCCCAGCCAAAACCGGGTCACCAGACAAGGGGACAGCCCGGCAAGGGCTGTGGGGTCAGTGAGCAGCCGGTGCCAACCCCATGGGCAGGTGCTGCTCCACCGAGCGTGAATAATCCCGAGGCGCCAAGCGGGAAGGGAGCGAAAGCAACTCCGGCTGCTTTTTATAGCGTCTAAAAATAACCCCCCCTGCAGCCAGCAGCCATAAATTCCCCGAGAAAGCCTCAAAGGGAGGTGGAAGGAGCCGAAGGAGGATGCGGGTGGGGGTCTCAGGGCACATCACCAGGCCGGAAGGTGCCAGTGCGGGCGCCCAGGGGTGCTGGGTCCCATTCCCAGAGCTCTGCTGACTCATGGCACAACCTTTCCCAAGGCACCACGACCCATCCGGTTCGCTGAGCCTCAGTTTCCCCAGCCAGCAGGGCCAGGGTGCCGGCGACAGCACTCCTGTCACTGGGGGTTTTTTCCCCTCTTTCCTCCCAGCGTGTCACCAACCCGTCCCAAATGCAATGGAGGGCTGAGGTTTTCTCCTGGTTTCGTTCCCAGACCCGGGAATGGAACCAACACGTGCCCCTTTGCCAAGGGGCAATGCTGGCACAGCCCCAGGGGCAGCCGGGCAGGATGAGACACTGGCAAAGGGCTCCATGTGGGCACCGGGCCGTGGTGGATGGTTGGAGTGACATCCCATTCCAGGGTGGGCTGCGCCTTTGTGCCATCCCCACTGCCCAAACAGGCACCCAGGCCATTCTGCACCCATCCCCTTGGACCCAGGGCATGTTTTGGGATGGGTGATGTGCCTCCACCCAGTACCCCAGGGCTACCACCACCGTCCTGCCCCAATGTCCCAATGCCCCCTGCTCCCCACAGGCACATTCCAGGAGCAGGGATGGTCCCTGGAGGTGCAAACATCAGGCTGGCCCTGGCCCCAAACCCTGGCCCACAGTGGCAGCCGGGAGCAGCAGCTCTGTCCCCGCGTGGCACCGACAGCGCTGTCGGCAGAGGAGGAGGAGGGAGGAGGAGATGTGACTCAGAGGGGCGGCTGCCAGCCCAGCCCAGCCCAGCCCCACCGGGGATGCTGCTGCCCAGAGGCCTCCTTCCTGCAGGTCACCCCTGGGACAATGTGCCAAAGGCCCTGCCAGCCCCAAAGCAATGGAGCCCCTCGCAGTGACCCTGCTGGAGACCCCCCGGCTGTGCCTTTCCCCAGTGAGTTTCCAAACCTTCCTCCCCAAGGAGAGGTGGCACACAGTGGGGACAGGGACAGCTGGCACATGGCACTGTGTCCCTGAGCCCACTGCTGCCCATCCCCAGGCCAGGATCTGTCCTTGGCTAAGGGCGCAGGACAGGGGAAAGTTGGGATCACCCCCAGCCGCTGGGATCCCACACACAGGCTGTGCCCACCAACATCAGCCTCTTATCAGCCCCTCCTGCACCCCAAGGGGACAGGGTGGCTCTATCTGTGAGAGCAGGCGGGGACTGGGGCGCAGGGACACGGGGGAGGCGAGTGACACCCTGGTGGGGACACCGATAGCACAGGCAGGCACGAACCCGCCCAAAAACCCCGCGAGGACTCACGGTGCCCAAAGCACATCGTCATGAGGGGCCTTGGCTGTTTGGAAACCTCTCACCCCTCTGGAGCCCCCCTCCAGGCTGCCCCAAATGCCATGTGAGGGGGCCCAGGGCTCGAGGCAGCACAGATGTCTGTTTGTCACTCGCTGGATGGTGGCAGTGGGGGGTGACAGGGCCGGGGTAAAGTCCACGGTGCCCATCGCTGTCCCCCCGCCAGCTCCTGCGAACAGCACTGGTGTCACAGCCAGGCCTGGTGCGAGGTTCTGTGTCCCAGGGGCTCGGGGGGGGTGGGGGGGCAGCAAAAACAAGAGGCTGGGACAGTTCCCCCTGGGAGGGGAAGCTCTGGAGCGTGGCAGGGGAGGGACAGGCACGCCTGGACTCTGCCCCCAACCTCTGCACTTCACCTTTGCAACTGGTCCATGGAGCACGGCTGGATGCAGCCACCCTGCACTGGGAGCAGGCCCCTCCCTGCCTCAGTTTCCCCACAGGAGGACAAGGCTGGAGCGAGGAGCTGGCTGTCAGGAAGGGGAATTAATGGAATTAACTCATGTGGGTCACACATGGCTGATGAAGCACGTGGTGAGGTGGGGGAGCACGCACCAGGCTGGGGGCCTGTGGCATCCCCAAGTGCCACAGCTGCACCCACAACACCCTTCCCAGGGCTCTCCTCAGCCCTGGGGCCATCACTGGGCACTGGGCA